TCACCAGATCTTCAATAAAGGTAAGTGTCATGTAACTGCATGTAATCTTCAGTTTGTGTGTATTAAAATTAATATTTCATGTGGTAAAATTTTTTTTTTCAATACTTTTGGGTGTCTTGCACGGATTAATTTGATTTCCATTATTTCTTATGGGGAAAATTAACTTGACTAACGATAATTCTGACTAACGATGAGCTCTCAGGAACGGATTAATATCGCTGGTCGAGGGTCCACTGTAGATGACAAGTAACATTTGCACCTGAAAAACACAAATGACGATGGTCTCTAGGCACCATGATGGTAATGCCAGTGCAGGAGTAAGGATGAATGGGAGGGTGTTGGTACCTGGGGAAGAAGTTGATATCCTTGGGGTGAAATTCGACTCCAAACTGACCATGAAGAACCACGTTGTAAATCTTGCAAACAAGGTAGCCAGGAAGCTTACAGCGCTTCGCTGTATCTTGCATCTGCTTGACAGTTTGGGTTGCAAGATTCTGTATGAAGCACAAGTACGCTCACACCTTGAGTATGCTCCACTTTCTTGGTTTGGCTGCACCCCTCCCCCTCATATCTGGGATTGCTTGATAGAGTAGAGAACAGAGGAAGACGTCTGGTCTCATCCTGGATAGATCTGTCACTTCAGCAGAGTGTTCAACACAGGAGGGATGTGGGTGGCCTTACTGTTATGTACAAGGCCAATATTGTCAAAGTACCACACTTGGATCCACTTTGAGGACAGCGTGAAGCAAGCTTCTATACCACAAGACGAGCAGAAAACAGCAACTTCACTCTGGCTGTACCCTTCTCCAGAACATCACTTCATCTGAGATCATTTATCCCCAGGATGACTCGGGTCTGGAACACATTCGTACAGCATTACAATGTTAACGAGATCAAGTCAGTTGATCAAATGAAAATGCTGGCTCACAGATGGCTCGAATTTCATCCTTTTCCCTACTTGTATTTTGCATAACAATAAAAATGCTTTCCAATGAGCTTATGTAGGTAACAGCTCTTAGCTTGTCAATAAAGCTAGGGATCCTTAACCTAATCTTGTCAAACCCTGTGGAGATAGAGATAGAGATAGGTAGAGATAGATGTATAGATATACGTATATAGATATACGTATATAGATATACGTATATAGATATACGTATATAGATATACGTATATAGATATACGTATATATATATACGTATATAGATATACGTATATAATATACGTATATAGTATATACTATATAATATACTATATAGATATAAGTATATAGTATACGTATATAGATATACTATATATATATAATTTATATATATATATATATATTATAATAATATATAGTTTATATATATATTATAATATATATATGAAATATATACCTTAATATATATTCTTTCTTTCAACACACCGGCTTCGATATCCCACTAGGCGTGGGTGCACACAAAAGGAAAAAACGAAAGTTTCTCCTTTCACATTTACGTAATATATCCAGGAGTAAGAGGTTATAGCCCTATTGCATCCCGGGCATATAAGTTGCCTCCTACATCACGCATAGGCTTATGGAGAAGATATTCTGATTCCACTTCCCATGAGGGAAGAAATAAACAACAAGAACAAGAACTAGTAAAAAATATTAAAAAACCAGAAGGTGTGTATATATATGCTTGTACATGTATGTGTAGTGTGCCTAAGTGTAAGTAGAAGTAGCAAGACATACCTGAAATCTTGCATGTTTATGAGACAGAAAAATGGACACCAGCAATCTACCATCATGTAAAACAATACAGGCTTCCATTTATATATATATATATAATATATATATATATATATAATATATATATATATATATATATATATATTATATATATATATTTTATTATTATCACACGGCCGATTTCCCACCAAGGCAGGTGGCCGAAAAAAGAAAAACTTTCACCATCATTCACTCCATCACTGTCTTGCAGAAGGTGCTTTACACTACAGTTTTTAAACTGCAACATTAAACCCCTCCTTCAGATGCGGCACTGTATTCCCATCTCCAGACTCAAGTCCGGCCTGCCGGTTTCCCTGAATCCCTTCATAAATGTTACTTTGCTCACACTCCAACAGCACGTCAAGTATTAAAACCATTTGTCTCCATTCACTCCTATCAACACGCTCACGCATGCCTGCTGGAAGTCCAAGCCCTCGCACACAAAACCTCCTTTACCCCTCCTCCAACCTTCCTAGGCCGACCCACCCCGCCTTCCTTCCACTACAGACTGATACACTCTTGAAGTCATTCTGTTTCGCTCCATTCTCTCTACATGTCCGAACCACCTCAACAACCCTTCCTCAGGCCTCTGGACAACAGTTTTGGTAACCCGCACCTCCCCTAACTTCCAAACTACGAATTCTCTGCATTATATTCACACCACACATTGCCCTCAGACATGACATCTCCACTGCCTCCAGCCTTCTCCTCGCTGCAACATTCATCACCCACGCTTCACACCCATATAAGAGCGTTGGTAAAACTATACTCTCATACATTCCCCTCTTTGCCTCCAAGGACAAAGTTCTTTGTCTCCACAGACTCCTAAGTGCACCACTCACTCTTTTCCCTCATCAATTCTATGATTCACCTCATCTTTCATAGACCCATCCGCTGACACGTCCACTCCAAATATCTGAATACGTTCACCTCCTCCATACTCTCTCCCTCCAATCTGATATTCAATCTTTCATCACCTAATCTTTTTGTTATCCTCATAACCTTACTCTTTCCTGTATTCACCTTTAATTTTCTTCTTTTGCACACCCTACCAAATTCATCCACCAATCTCTGCAACTTCTCTCAGAATCTCCAAGAGCACAGTGTCATCAGCAAAGAGCAGCTGTGACAACTCCCACTTTGTGTGTGATTCTTTATCTTTTAACTCCACGCCTCTTGCCAAGACCCTCGCATTTACTTCTCTTACAACCCCATCTATAAATATATTAAACAACCACGGTGACATCACACATCCTTGTCTAAGGCCTACTTTTACTGGGAAAAAAAAAATTTCCCTCTTTCCTACATACTCTAACTTGACCTCAACTATCCTCGTAAAAACTCTTCACTGCTTCAGTAACCTACCTCCTACACCATACACTTGCAACATCACTGCCACATTGCCCCCCTATCCACCCTGTCATACGCCTTTTCCAAATCCATAAATGCCACAAAGACCTCTTTAGCCTTATCTAAATACTGTTCACTTATATGTTTCACTGTAAACACCTGGTCCACACACCCCTACCTTTCCTAAAGCCTCCTTGTTCATCTACTATTCCTATTCTCCGTCTTAATCTTAATTCTTTCAATTATAAACTCTACCATACACTTACCAGGTACACTCAACAGACTTATCCCCCTATAATTTTTGCACTCTCTTTTATCCCCTTTGCCTTTATACAAAGGAACTATGCATGCTCTCTGCCATATCCTAGGTACCTTACCCTCTTCCATTACATTTATTAAATAATTGCACCCAACCACTCCAAAACTATATCCCCACCTGCTTTTAACATTTCTATCTTTATCCATCAATCCCGGCTGCCTTACCCCCTTTCATTTTACCTACTGCCTTCAGAACTTCCCCCCACACTCACAACTGGCTCTTCCTCACTCCTACAAGATGTTATTCCTCCTTGCCCTATACACGAAATCACAGCTTCCCTATCTTCATCAACATTTAACAATTCCTCAAAATATTCCTTCCATCTTCCCAATACCTCTAACTCTCCATTTAATAAACTCTCCTCTCCTATTTTTAACTGACAAATCCATTTGTTCTCTAGGCTTTCTTAACTTGTTAATCTCACTCCAAAACTTTTTCTTATTTTCAACAAAATTTGTTGATAACATCTCACCCACTCTCTCCATTTGCTCTCTTTTTACATTGCTTCACCACTCTCTTAACTTCTCTCTTTTTCTCCATATACTCTTCCCTCCTTGCATCACTTCTACTTTGTAAAAACTTCTCATATGCTAACTTTTTCTCCTTACTACTCTCTTTACATCATCATTCACCAATCGCTCCTCTTCCCTCCTGCACCCACTTTCCTGTAACCACAAACTTCTGCTGAACACTCTAACACTACATTTTTAAACCTACCCCATACCTCTTCGACCCCATTGCCTATGCTCTCATTAGCCCATCTATCCTCCAATAGCTGTTTATATCTTACCCTAACTGCCTCCTCTTTTAGTTTATAAACCTTCACCTCTCTCTTCCCTGATGCTTCTATTCTCCTTGTATCCCATCTACCTTTTACTCTCAGTGTAGCTACAACTAGAAAGTGATCTGATATATCTGTGGCCCCTCTATAAACATGTACATCCTGAAGTCTACTCAACAGTCTTTTATATATATATTTATATATATTCATTCTCCATGGGGAAGTGAAACAGAATTCTTCCTCCATAAGCTATGCTTGTTGTAAGAGGCGACTAAAATGCCAGGAGCAAGGGGCTAGTAACCCCTTCTCCTGTATATATTACTAAATGTGAAAGGAGAAACTTTTGTTTTTCCTTTTGGGCCACCCCGCCTCTGTGGGATACGGCTGGTGTTTTGAAAGAAAGAACATATATACTATATTGTATGTGTGTGTGTATATATGTATGTATTAATCATCTTGACCCAAGTATAAGGGCTACCAACCTGTATGGATCACCAGTCATACACACATCACCAGATTTACACCTAATTGCAGGGCTCACCACCCTTACAAGAGCATTCCGATCAATGGCCACGTAGAATCACCAGCCCACCCATAGTTACAAGAATCCAGCCATACACTAGTACATAGCACCAACCTTATAAGGATCATCAACCATATACAGTTGCAAAGAATGCCAGCTATATGCTCATATACATGACTATCAGGAGCTTAGAAGTTGTGACTTGGGATTAAATGTTGCTATTTATGTTTCATTGAAAATTATAGAAGGTAATTAATTATATATTTGCAATTTCCAGGTGGAAGAGCTAATTTTGCTGCCCAGCCATTGCCATACATTCATAAAGGGACATGATCGCCCATACTACTTTCGCCACAACAATAACAACAATAACAAGAACACGGCAACACATACCCGGTGTTTACCATGTTCAAGATCATCATACCAGTTCATTGAGAGGTACTTAATGCTTTTGTCTCACTGCTTATAAGCTTTTTCATATTTAACCTCTTTCAATCGGTATTTTGTTTGGGCATGTAAGAATAAGGTAGTTTACAGTGGAACTTTTATTTTGTGTCACTTGACTAATTACTTGCAGGCAGGCAAGAGTGAAAGTGTGAATTGGCTCTTTTTATTGCCAAAGGCATATGCATAACTCATGGGCTTCCTCTTGCAATAGCCTCAGTATTTTCACCACTGTGTGGCAGTGATAGGGATGATGATAATATTTCAAGAACACAAGTGCCCAATGTGATAAGTGTGACTTCCCCCTCAGGTGTCATTCTTTAACCCCTTGACTGTCGCAACCCCCAATCCTGAGGTGTCTCCTGGTGTCGCAAAATTTAAAATTTTTTATTTTTTCTTATGAAATGATAGAGAATCTTTTCCCGATTGTAATGATACCAAAAAAACGAAATTTGATGGAAAACTGATGGAATTACGCTCTTGCGAAGTTAGCGACCTTGGCGATATTTACAAATCGGCGATTTCGCCCACTTTGAGCCCTATTTTTGGCTAATTCCTTTGTTTCAGTCTACCAAACTCATAGCTATTTCTTTAGAACTCCATTTTTCTATTGATTGAGTACAAGAAACTGCCTATTTACCAATTTCAACTACCCAATAACGTGGTCAGAAATTTGCAATTTGGCCAGTTTCACGAAAATTAAAAAATATGACAATTTCAAACTAAGGTCCAGAATGAGCAATGCAGACATTCCTGGCTCTAAAATAACATTTTCTTTGTTCATCAGTCATGTCTCCAGGCCCCTCTGATATTACTCTTGCTTTCTATTTTGAATTTTTATAATTTTTTTTTATAGTAAAATCAATCAAAATCTTCTCTTTTTCTATAATATGTTTTCCATTCTATCAAATGAGACCAAGAAAACGAGAATACAACCATAAATACTATACGAAAATAGACCACAAAGTCGGCATTTTAATTTAAAAAAAGGTCGAGTTTTTTTTTTCTCATTATTCACTGCGTGCTCCAGGATTTTTTTTATGTGGTGCACACTGACCACACAGACCCATTCTCTCGCATGTGGGCCTACCAGCTTTCTCCTTCTTGATTTGAAGCTGCTAGAATTTATGAGTATATATACGTCGAACACGGTACCTCATAAGACGTATATATACGGCCGCGACAGTCAAAGGGTTAAGTGTGAGGTCATGTGATGCATGGGTGTCTTGTTAGATGATATTCTTCCTGCACCAACCTCTACCTTCCTGCACTCATCTCCTTTCTGCACCCACTCTCTCCTTCCTGCAGTTTCTACCTACCTGATGTTAATTTATTTAATTTATTTTGAGTAGTTGTGTATTTATTTTTACTGGTGCTGCTTTTTATTTTTTATTTTTGTGATATTTTAATTGGGATTACCATAACTTTGTTTTTTGGTAGCTGCTTTGTTAGGTTCTTTTTAAATGCCAGAGACACTAAATGACCAGTGGGTCAAAGTACATACATCATAGATTTTTGCGATACCTGATTTAGTCACAGCTACTCTGCACACCTGTTCTTTTCATGGCTCTACATAATTTCAGGGGAAGTATTGCCTAACTTTTTTCTACCTGTTTTACAGGTCTAGTGCTTTCTATGATTATAATACAGTAAACCCCTCCATATAACTGACCTCTACATAACGAACTTAGGAAAATGGAATAAAATCTATTGAGCAGTTGATTTGCAAATAATGGATAAAGTCTGTTGGTTAAAGAATTATCCATTATTGTTAAAAATTATTATCTAACAATCTCTTCTCTGTCCATCACAGCTGCCATTACTGGCCACCCAGTCCTCCTAAATAGTTCATTTTATGGAGAGTTTACTGTACTCTAATTTTCTACTTGGGATGCTATGTTTGAGCTTGTCTTCCATAATGATGTACAGTGAGCTTCATGAGAGACCCTAGTCAAAGGGAGTGTTCAAACTAATGGGCTGCAATGAATGTACTTGGGGGGGGGGGGGTGTATTGCAGATCCTTGCCATAACCTCTGGGATTGTATCATTAATTCATTAAATATGACAGTGAAATACAGTATTGCATTGACAGTGAAGTAATGCTATTGACAGTGAAATACAGAGATTTTCTGAAAGTTGATCTTTCCAAAAGCTAGTCACATCCAAAGAAGCAGTGAAGCGACACTGCAAAATCAAAATTAAACTGAAGTTGGAAAAGAAAACCTTAACTGAAATAACTGTGTATTTCAGTACTGAAACACTTGATAGTTATTTGAGGAAAAGAATCTTGGTAGAGACTGAAGTACTGTGCTCAGATTTTTTTCATTTTAAGTTTCACTGTGTTTTTCCTTTCATCTGAGTAGTCAGTATTGTAAAGTTCTGTATCTTACTCCTGTAACTTATTTGTGTAGTACTATAGTTATTTGTATGTAAATGTAACTTTTTTTTTGTGCAGTGCTATAACCCACTGTTACTTGTGCAGTGCTGTAATTTACTGTTACTTGTGCAGTGCTGTAATTTACCGTTACCTGTGCAGTGCTGTAATTTACAGTTACTTGTGCAGTGTTGTAATTTACCATTACTTGTGCAGTGCTGTAATTTAACATTACTTGTGCAGTGCTGTAATTTAACATTACTTGTGCAGTGCTGTAATTTACCGTTACTTGTGCAGTGCTGTAATTTACCATTACTTGTGCAGTGCTGTAATTTACCGTTACTTGTGCAGTGCTGTAATTTACAGTTACTTGTGCAGTGTTGTAATTTACCATTACTTGTGCAGTGCTGTAATTTAACATTACTTGTGCAGTGCTGTAATTTAACATTACTTGTGCAGTGCTGTAATTTACCGTTACTTGTGCAGTGCTGTAATTTACCGTTACTTGTGCAGTGCTGTAATTTACCGTTACTTGTGCAGTGCTGTAATTTACCGTTACTTGTGCAGTGCTGTAATTTACTGTTACTTGTGCAGTGCTGTAATTTACCGTTACTTGTGCAGTGCTGTAATTTACCGTTACTTGTGCAGTGCTGTAATTTACCGTTACTTGTGCAGTGCTGTAATTTACCGTTACTTGTGCAGTGCTGTAATTTACCGTTACCTGTGCAGTGCTGTAATTTACTGTTACTTGTGCAGTGCTGTAATTTACCGTTACTTGTGCAGTGCTGTAATTTACCGTTACTTGTGCAGTGCTGTAATTTACCGTTACTTGTGCAGTGCTGTAATTTACCGTTACTTGTGCAGTGCTGTAATTTACCGTTACTTGTGCAGTGCTGTAATTTACCGTTACTTGTGCAGTGCTGTAATTTACTGTTACTTGTGCAGTGCTGTAATTTACTCTTACTTGTGCATGTTTTATTTTCTCTGCAGATACTATGCAAAATTCTTTGATCAGCATAGCTAATACACACATTTTCTGAACAAGAGGAATAGTAAATTAACAAATTTATTTATATTCTGCCTACTCGCCTCTGTAAAAGCATGTTTTGTCCTCCCTATATTTCCAATCTACAAAATCTTTGTTACACCCTTTATCCTCTAGATACCAAACTCGCATTTTGCCAGACTTGTACACTTCATATTGCTTTAGTTCAAACTTCTGTCATTGATGCTTTTGGTGTTTACTGCATTTCCTGCTTCTGCCCTATCCAATGCATGTACTTAAGTGAAATTGGCCACTCTTCATTATAGACTCAAAGAACACAAAAGCATTTACCTTGCTAACACTAAAAATGTTCTTTTGTTTTAGCCATGTTAGAGATCATAGCCATCCTATAAACTGATCCTCTGCTAAAACTATCTACCCTTGAAGCTTTCACAGATGTCAGATGCTCAATCTTGTTGAGGTAATCCATATACACAATATTCTGGTTTTGTTATAGTAGATGCATGCCTTTCTCAATGAAGCCTCTCCTTAACGACAGAATTCCATTCCTAAGACCACATTCGTAAACAAATTTGTCACTAAGTGAGGACCATACTATAATGGTAGTGGGTTTTTGTCATCTTTGATATTGTTTTAATGTCATCTTTGCACCATTTTAGCATTTCTGGTATACTTTTAAGTATTTATACAGTAGTATGCTGTATATTGTAATAAACAGAATAGAGGAAATCAGCTTTAATATACATTACAGTGGAACCGCAACTTATGAGTCTAATCCGTTCATAACTCAGTTTGCTCGTATATCAAATAAATTTTCCTCATTTAAATTAATTGAAATGCCATTAATCCATTCCAGCAGAATTCCTGCTCTCAGGAGGCAGGACAAAATACTTCAATATAATGCTAATGTCAACTCTACAGCTTATTTATCTATCACAATTGATCTAATGACATAATAAACAATGTAAGTAATATAGAAACATAATATACTCTAGAATGAATAATATATGTCATGTGATGAGTGGTGGTGGCCAATCCCACTCCCAATCTGATCGTTTCTTCCCATGCTCTTATGAGAAAACGGAGTGTTAGAACATAAGAACATAAGAAAGGAGGAGCACTGCAGCAGACCTGATGGCCCATACTAGGCAGGTCCTTGTCAGACCCAAACCCACTAACAACTAAGAGACGCTAACGAGACTATCAGAACAAAGCAACAAGTGAAACACCAAAAAAAGACACTTTCAAGTGAACAAGACAGAAAGCAAGAGGAAAAAAAATACCCACTTAGATACAGACAGTTTACTGTCAGTGAGCTGTCTTTTCCCAGCAATTAATAATATAGAAAGACTGAAGAAAGCTACCATATTTTCTGGCACATAAGGCACGCCTTTCCCCCCCCCCCCCTTCCACCACCACAAAAAAAATCTTGGGAACTCACCCTGTGCCTTATATACTGAAGATCAGGGTTAGGAGTAACCTCTGGGTTACACTTTAGCATAGAGTAAAAGAGTAATTGACCCTTGAATATTATTACTGATTTACCGTTATACTTCTGTCCTGCGTCTTATATACCTGGAGAGGGTTTCAGGGGGGTCAGCGCCCCCGCGGCCCAGTCTGAGACCAGGCCTCGTGGTGGATCAGGGTCTGATCAACCAGGCTGTTACTGCTGGCCACATAGAAAATACGGTACATAAGTAATATAGGCAGAGAGCATGCATAGTTCCTTTGTATAAAGGCAAAGGGGACAAAAGAGAGTGCAAAAATTATAGGGGGATAAGTCTGTTGAGTATACCTGGTAAAGTGTATGGTAGAGTTATTATTGAAAGAATTAAAAGTAAGACTGAGAATAGGATAGCAGATGAACAAGGAGGCTTTAGGAAAGGTAGGGGGTGTGTGGACCAGGTGTTTACAGTGAAACATATAAGTGAACAGTATTTAGATAAGGCTAAAGAGGTCTTTGTGGCATTTATGGATTTGGAAAAGGCGTATGACAGGGTGGATAGGGGGGCAATGTGGCAGATGTTGCAGGTGTATGGTGTAGGAGGTAGGTTACTGAAAGCAGTGAGAAGTTTTTACGAGGATAGTGAGGCTCAAGTTAGAGTACATAGGAAAGAGGGAAATTATTTCCCAGTAAAAGTAGGCCTTAGACAAGGATGTGTGATGTCACCATGGTTGTTTAATATATTTATAGATGGGGTTGTAAGAGAAGTAAATGCGAGGGTCTTGACAAGAGGCGTGGTGTTAAAAGATAAAGAATCACACACAAAGTGGGAGTTGTCACAGTTGCTCTTTGCTGATGACACTGTGCTCTTGGGAGATTCTGAAGAGAAGTTGCAGAGATTGGTGGATGAATTTGGTAGGGTGTGCAAAAGAAGAAAATTAAAAGTGAATACAGGAAAGAGTAAGGTTATGAGGATAACAAAAATATTAGGTGATGAAAGATTGGATATCAGATTGGAGGGAGAGTGTATGGAGGAGGTGAATGTATTCAGATATTTGGGAGTGGACGTGTCAGCGGATGGGTCTATGAAGGATGAGGTGATTCATAGAATTGATGAGGGGAAAAGGGTGAGTGGTGCACTTTGGAGTCTTTGGAGACAAAGAACTTTGTCCTTGGAGGCAAAGAGGGGAATGTATGAGAGTATAGTTTTACCAACACTTTTATATGGGTGTGAAGCATGGGTGACGAATGTTGCAGCAAGGAGAAGGCTGGAGGCAGTGGAGATGTCATGTCTGAGGGCAATGTGTGGTGTGAATATAATGCAGAGAATTCTTAGTTTGGAAGTTAGGAGGAGGTGCGGGATTACCAAAACTTTTGTCCAGAGGGCTGAGGAAGGGTTGTTGAGGTGGTTCGGACATGTAGAGAGAATGGAGCGAAACAGAATGACTTCAAGAGTGTATCAGTCTGTAGTGGAAGGAAGGCGGGGTAGGGGTCGGCCTAGGAAAGGTTGGAGGGAGGGGATAAAGGAGGTTTTGTGTGCGAGGGGCTTGGACTTCCAGCAGGCGTGCGTGAGCGTGTTTGATAGGAGTGAATGGAGACGAATGGTTTTTAATACTTGACGTGCTGTTGGAGTGTGAGCAAAGTAACATTTATGAAGGGGTTCAGGGAAACTGGCAGGCCGGACTTGAGTCCTGGAGATGGGAAGTACAGTGCCTGCACTCTGAAGGAGGGGTGTTAATGTTGCAGTTTAAAAACTGTAGTGTAAAGCACCCTTCTGGCAAGACAGTGATGGAGTGAATGATGGTGAAAGTTTTTCTTTTTCGGGCCACCCTGCCTTGGTGGGAATCGGCCAGTGTGATAATAAAAATAAATAAGTAATATAACAGTTTCTAGGAACATATTAATCCAAAAAATAGATGGAGAGAAACAAAGTCAATGTCTTCCGGGTCAGACGGACTGTTTCTAAGGGTCCTTAGAGAGTACACAAATAACCTGCACGTTTTGGTCCATTGACTAGTATGACTCATCAATGATCCAAATCGGACCAGTGTGCCTTTTTGTTCTTAGAGAGTGCAATGGAGAACTTGATGATCCGTTCTTAGCCTGTTTCCTACAAGACTGAGTGTAGAAAGTGCGCCATATGCATTATCAGTAGTGGTACTACACAAATAACCTGCACATAGGACCGAAACAACATTTCGGTCTGACTTGGGCCATTAACGATCACCAAATACATAGTGTCTTCTGTCAGCAATGTGGCTGACAGCATTTTCTGAATTCTCAGAGATGGAAACGTGAGATCAGTAACTAGTTTTGTGGTCACCATCATGAAACTTATCAAGGAGAGGCCACCAGCAACAGTAGTAACAGCAACAGCAGTAACAGTAGTAACAGTAACAGCAGCAATTGTGAGGCTAACTGCACTAGATCGCTAGTTTCAAAAGGAAAACACTGAAACAATGTATTTATAAATAAGAAATATTGTATAAAAACATAATACATTAAACATAATAGAAAATGTAAAGAAATAAACTAGTCTTATAAAGTGTATGTACATATTTACCTTGGAGAAGAAATGCTGCTGGAGGTTGAGGGTGGAAAAGAGAGGCAGAATGGCATGTGCTGTCAGTGGCCCTATAAACAAGAACAATAACATGGGAGGAGTTTGTTTCTTTTCGTCCTTTTTCTGTTGCTTAATCGCTTAACTTGCTTGCTACACTCTTAATGCTACACTTTATCGCTGAACTTAACTGCTACAATTTTTTTTTTCACTTCGCTTTTCATTGATTTACTTGGTTAATTAGCAAGAACTCGTTTAAAATTTTCTCTTATACGTTCAAAGATGTATTTTTTCACATGGTAGAAGTACTACGCTCATACTGCCTTGCCTAGTCCACAACCTGCACACTTCGCTTGTATTTATCTATGATTTCATGCTTTAATTCCATGGACATCATCCTCTTTTTCTTCTCAGCACTGTCCTTTGCACTTACCTTCTTAGGACCCATGGTTACAAAAAAGAAATTTGGCAAAATAACTGCACAAAATGCAAGCAAAACACGAGAAATGCTTCCAGGGTGAGGTAAACACATGTACTGCTGATGATGTGGCGTTCGCTGCACCAACTAGTGGCAGCGTTCTGAAGCTCGCTCATTGTTATTATTATTATAATGGGGAAACGTAAACCTGTAGGATTATACAGAGCCTGTGGGAAGGAGAGGATGGAAGGTATGCAGGCTTAATTTAGGGAACTGGAGCACAGATCCAATTCCCTAGATCAAAAGCCCCTCACAAGCGTCAAGGAACCTTCCTTGAGGGGGAAGCTCGCTTGTAACTCGGATTTTCGCCCATAGCTCGGAGCAGAAAATCGACAGAATGATGGCTCATATGTCGAAAAACTCGTGTGTTGGGGCACTCGTAAGTTGAGGTTCCACTGTATTTAGGTATACATACTGGTCAGAGAGCCTGCCGTAAGTCCAAGTTGTTGGTAAACGAGTACATTGCTAATACCTGGAGTATACCTGGAGAGGGTTTCAGGGATCAACGCCCCCACAGCCAGGTCTGTGATCAGGCCTCACGGTCGATCAGGACCTGATAAACCAGGCTGTTACTGTTGTCTGCATGCAACCTGACACACGAACCACAGCCTGGCTGGTCGGGTACTGACTTTAGGTGCCTGTCCAGTGCTTTCTTGAAGACAACCAGGGGTCTATTGGTAATCCCCCTGTATGTATGCTGTGAGGAGAGGCTGTATATATTTTCAAATGCTCTATCAGAACACTTGTGACTTTGGCATGACCTGTGCCTTCTCCTCACCTGTTGTTCTTTTAACCTGTCTTCAGTATTTCCTTAGCATTTCATGACTTCTGACTTTCTCCTTTGTTGCTTCTTTCTTTGGATGGGCAGTGAGGGTTATTGCAGTTGGACTTCTTTTATTTGTTCCTTATGGGGGCCCCGATGGGAACATGTATTAGAGGGTGGAGTTACCTGCTTCTTCATTACCTTGTTGCATTTTACCCTTGTAGTGCTAGTACTACTGCTACTTGCTGGTACTAGTACTACTAGCAGTACTGTACTATTACTATAAATACTAATTCTTCTATTAGTACTAGTATGATTAGTATTGGTACTAGTACTATTAGTACTGCTAGTACTATTGGTACTGCTGGTACTATTAGTACTGCTGGTACTACTAGTACTGCTGGTACTACTAGTACTATTGGTACTAGTACTATAGGTGCTGCTACTAGTACTATAGGTGCTGCTACTAGTACTATTGGTACTAGTACTATTGATACTACTAGTGATACTGTTAGTGCATTACTACTATTACTACTGCTGCTAGTACTACTCTAGTACTACAGGTTGGCCATCACTAATCCGGCAATCAGTTACCTGGTTCCATCAGTAATCCAGCACTAATTTTGGCTGGCATAATTTCAAATTTTGTCATTATACTGACTCAGAAATTGTCTAGATGGTTGTAAATCTACAGCAGCAAGCCAGTGGAGGAGAAGGCAGTGATGGAAATGAGGACGATGTAGCAGATAGGTTAATTAAATGTATTCTAACCTAACCACTCTGTAATCCAGCAAACTCAATAATCCGGCACACTGCAGGTCCCACTGATGCTGGATTAGTGATGGTTGACGTGTACTACAATTGAAAGAAGGAAATAATTTATAATTTGACAAAATTATTTAATCCAATTTGTTATCTTTTTAGAGCCCAAGAATCGTTGCAGTGTATCATCAGCAATAGTCGAAATCTGCGCACTCTTACACTAGGCTGCATCCAGGACCTGACTGATCAAGCTGATATATTTCTTCCATTGCTGGCCCATCACCAATCCACTTCCATCTCGACACTTGGTTTGGCCTCAGTCAAGTATGATCCAGATTCTTATGCCCTGCTTGACATCACTCCAGACAATTTTACTGCCTTCACAAACTTGCAGGTATATTGATTAAATGCTTTAATCTGCTAGTTCACTTTGTTCACTTTTCATTTGTTTCCAAGTGCATTTCTGTTTCTAAAACTTTCTCTTTCCATCAGGTTCTAACCTTAGATTATGACTACATGAGTGACCGTCTTCTGAGTATCTTGTCCTCACCCTACAACTCCCCTATAAGACGATTAATTCTCCATGTCCATGGAATTGATCAGACCCATCGTGGCACTACCGAGTACATGTGGTATCGCTTCAAGCAACAGCAGTGAGTATTTTAAGAGTGGCTACATTGTATTATTGACTCTTGTTGTAATGGTGACATTAGCTGACTCCACTGAAAAGTGTTAAAAGTTATATCTTAAACACTTGCAGTGTCTTCTAATTTTTTTTTTTATTATTATCACACTGGCCGATTCCCACCAAGGCAGGGTGGCTCGAAAAAGAAAAACTTTCACCATCATTCACTCCATCACTGTCTTGCCAGAAGGGTGCTTTACACTACAGTTTTTAAACTGCAACCCCTCCTTCAGAGTGCAGGCACTGTACTTCCCATCTCCAGGACTCAAGTCCGGCCTGCCGGTTTCCCTGAACCCCTTCATAAATGTTACTTTGCTCACACTCCAACAGCACGTCAAGTATTAAAAACCATTTGTCTCCATTCACTCCTATCAAACACGCTCACGCATGCCTGCTGGAAGTCCAAGCCCCTCGCACACAAAACCTCCTTTATCCCCTCCCTCCAACCTTTCCTAGGCCGACCCTACCCGCCTTCCTTCCACTACAGACTGATACACTCTTGAAGTCATTCTGTTTCGCTCCATTCTCTCTACATGTCCGAACCACCTCAACAACCCTTCCTCAGCCCTCTGGACAACAGTTTTGGTAATCCGCACCTCCTCCTAACTTCCAAACTACGAATTCTCTGCATTATATTCACACCACACATTGCCCTCAGACATGACATCTCCACTGCCTCAGCCTTCTCCTCGCTGCAACATTCATCACCCACGCTTCACACCCATATAGAGCGTTGGTAAAACTATACTCTCATACATTCCCCTCTTTGCCTCCAAGGACAAAGTTCTTTGTCTCCACAGACTCCTAAGTGCACCACTCACTCTTTTTCCCTCATCAATTCTATGATTCACCTCATCTTTCATAGACCCATCCGCTGACACGTCCACTCCCAAATATCTGAATTTCGTTCACCTCCTCCATACTCTCTCCCTCCAATCTGATATCCAATCTTTCATCCTAATCTTTTTGTTATCCTCATAACCTTACCTCTTCCTGTATTCACCTTTAATTTTCTTCTTTTGCACACCCTACCAAATTCATCCACCAATCTCTGCAACTTCTCTTCAGAATCTCCCAAGAGCACAGTGTCATCAGCAAAGAGCAGCTGTGACAACTCCCACTTTGTGTGTGATTCTTTTTCTTTTAACTCCACGCCTCTTGCCAAGACCCTCGCATTTACTTCTCTTACAACCCCATCTATAAATATATATTAAACAACCACGGTGACATCACACATCCCTTTTCTAAGGCCTTTTTACTGGGAAAAAATTTCCTCTTTCCTGCATACTCTGACTTGAGCCTCACTATCCTCATAAAAACTCTTCACTGCTTTCAGTAACCTACCTCCTACACCATACACTTGCAACATCTGCCACATTGCCCCCCTATCCACCCTGTCATACGCCTTTTCCAAATCCATAAATGCCACAAAGACCTCTTTAGCCTTATCTAAATACTGTTCACTTATATGTTTCACTGTAAACACCTGGTCCACACACCCCCCACCTTTCCTAAAGCCTCCTTGTTCATCTGCTATCCTATTCTCCGTCTTACTCTTAATTCTTTCAATTATAACTCTACCATACACTTTACCAGGTATACTCAACAGACTTATCCCCCTATAATTTTTGCACTCTCTTTTATCCCTTTGCCTTTATACAAAGGAACTATGCATGCTCTCTGCCAGTCCCTAGGTACCTTACCCTCTTCCATACATTTATTAAATAATTGCACAACCACTCCAAAACTATATCCCACCTGCTTTTAACATTTCTATCTTTATCCCATCAATCCCGGCTGCCTTACCCCCTTTCATTTTACCTACTGCCTCCGAACTTCCCCCACACTCACAACGGCTCTTCCTCACTCCTACAAGATGTTATTCCTCCTTGCCCTATACACGAAATCACAGCTTCCCTATCTTCATCAACATTTAACAATTCCTCAAAATATTCCTCCATCTTCCCAATACCTCTAACTCTCCATTTAATAACTCTCCTCTCTTATTTTTAACTGACAAATCCATTTGTTCTCTAGGCTTCCTTAACTTGTTAATCTCACTCCAAAACTTTTTCTTATTTTCAACAAAATTTGTTGATAACATCTCACCCACTCTCTCATTTGCTCTCTTTTTACATTGCTTCACCACTCTCTTAACCTCTCTCTTTTTCTCCATATACTCTTCCTATATACTCTTCTAATTTTCTTTGCTAATATTTCTTCAAGAGATGACACATATGGAATCAAAATTAAGTTGTAATAAATAACTGTCCATGAATAAACAGAATTGTGGGCAGGGGGAGGGACCATGGCCTGCTGGAAAGGTAGAGCATTGGACTGTCAATTTGCAGGCTGTGGTTTGTGCCCCCCCCCATCCACCATTTTGTTTATTCATGATGCATACCTCTATTGGAAATTAATGTCTGGCTCCTCCATTTTCTTACCTGTTTGTGGACATTCATGGATCCAGACACTGGCAACAGTCTGTTGTTCAGTGGTGTAATTATAACTTGGTGTTGCATTCACCTAATGTGGAGAACAGAAATGAGTTTAGGCTCTACACACATTTCTGCAGGGGTATCAAGACATTGTTTCTGTCCTTTATATCTGTACGTAATTTTTTTCTTCTCCAGTATTAGGTTACTTCAGTTAGTCATTAGATTTGTATGAGTATTATAATTTTTTGTACCTATTATACCTGTATCCATCTTTAGTGTAAGCAACCAAGGAATTTATGATTCAGTTTGTTGTACAGAACTTATGACTATGTGATTGAGTCTCTCTTTTTTTTGAAAATAGAGAGGGAAGAGTCTTCGTTTTTGGGTCACCATATTTCTTTCCACTGTATTCTAGTTCTAGTTTTGAATATAATGATAAATAATTCCCAAATTTTTCTAAGTTCATGATACATTCACTTGTTATTCAGACTTTACTGCAGCTTGCTTAAATTTACTTGATTCTACTTGATAAATTTCTTTATCACTGAAAAATGATGAGGAAAAAAAAAAAAGGTAAGGAATTTAAGTCGGGTCTTTATTTGTAAGCAGTATACTGGGGGATTTTGCAGTGGAATCTTGCTTGATGAATACATGTATTGTTAATATAAACTTTCTTGTTTTAACTCTAGTCCTCAGTGCTCCTTGGTAATGAACTTAGTACATTCTTATGATGGTGTGGAGCAACTGGGGTCTGGTCTGCTTCATCCCTCCATGCCCCTTACACACTTCAGAGCTTTCTTTTGTGAGTGGGTAAGTGTTGTTTTGTCATTTACTCCTATGCCATATTATTATTTTTTATTATTAGCACATCAGCCATCTCCCACCAAGGCAGGGTGGCCCAAAAAAGAAAAACTTTCATCATCATTCACTCCATCACTGTCTAGCCAGAGGCACGCTTACACTAAGAGTTGTAAAACCGCAACATTAACAGCCCTCTTTCAGAGTGCAGACGCTGTACTTCCCATCTCCAGACTCGAGTCCGGCCTGCCGGTTTCCCCGAATCCCTTCACACTCTGACAGCACGTCAAGTCCTAAAAACCATTCGTCTCCATTCGCTCCTATCTAAGACGTTCACACATGCTTGCTGAAAGTCCAAGGCCCTCACACACAAAACCTCCTTTGCCCCCTCCAACCTTTCCCTGCCCTGCCTTCCCTCCACTACAGATTTATACACTCTCGAAGTCATTCTATTTTGTTCCATCCTCTTTACATGTCTGAACCACCTCAACCCCTCCTTAGTCCTCTGGATGATAGTTTTGGTAATCCTGTACCTCCTTCTAATTTCCAAACAATGAATTTTCTACCCGTTTTATTCACACCACATTGCTCTCAGACCTGACATCTCCACTGCCTCCAGCTGTCTCCCTGTTGCAACATTCACCATCCATGTTTCACACCCATATTTAAAAGTGTTTGGGATGACTATACTCTCATACATTCCCCTCTTTGCTTCCATGGACAAAGTTAAATAACGATAAGGCACAACACCGTGACTGGAACAATACACAAATAACCCGCACATAGAAGAGAGGAGCTTACGACGATGTTTCGGTCCGACTTGGACCATTTACAAAGTCACACTAACGAAAAGGAGAGGGGGAAGGGGTATATATTTGGCGGAATGGAGTAGTGTGTAGTAGTAGTGGTAATAGTGGAGGTGGAAGGAAGTAGTAGTGGGCAGGTGGTAAGAGTAGGAGGGGCCAGTCAAATACTAAGAAAGAGGAGCACTGCAAGGGAGCTAGGTGCCCACAGAGGGTAAGAGCAAGAACCCCTAGGGGGGGGGAACAAATAAATAAATAAAAGGAACAAATACACAGGGCAGAAGAAAGACAACCCAAGGAGAAAAAGGAAAGAGGAAAAGGGGATGAGGGAGAAGAAGAAAAAGGAGGAATCAGGTTAGGTCACGAATGTTCTGAAGTTTGGAGCATCTTACAATATAGTGTGAGAGGAAGGCATCTACAGAGATGAAGCCAGGACTAAGATTCATACAAGGAAAATTGTGTATTAGGGAGGATTCAACCAGATGGTGACTGTTAAAGTTGGAGGTAGGGAAGACAGTTTTAGCAGAAGACCAGTCAATAGGAGTGAATGGAGACAAATGGTTTTTAATACTTGACGTGCTGTTGGAGTGTGAGCAAAGTAACATTTATGAAGGGATTCAGGGAAACCGGCAGGCCAGACTTGAGTCCTGGAGATGGGAAGTACAGTGCCTGCTCTCTGAAGGAGGGGTGTTAATGTTGCAGTTTAAAAACTGGTAAGACAGTGATGGAGTGAATGATGGTGAAAGTTTTTCTTTTTCGGGCCACCCTACCTTGGTGGGAATCGGCCAGTGTGCTAATAATAATAATAATAAAAAAGTGTATTAAACAACAATGGTAACATCATGCATTTTTGTCTAAGGCACTTTTTTTTTTTACTAGAAAATACTTGCCACCTTATATGCACTACCCTCATCTTCACTACTTGTAAAGGTGCTCAAATATCTTTTTAAAAATTTAGTAAAACTATTCCATACATTTGCAACACCTTGCCCCAACCCCCACCCAGGGAGGTTCCTTGAATACCAGTGAGGGGTCTTTTGATTGAAGGAATTGGACCTGTGCTTCCCTTCTTTGGATCAAACCTGAATGCCTCCCATTCACCCAGGCACTGTGTGATCCTTGCAGGTTTAGCACTTCTCCATGAATGTAATCTAATGTAATACAACATCTGCCACATTACTTCCCTGCCCCACCCTATCTTACGACTTTTCCAAATCCATAGACGAGTTTCTTTCAGTATTTAAAAAAAATGGCTGGTGAATATAAAAAATTAAGAAATACCAATTTATATTTAAGATCAATGTAGCAGCCCTCCGCCTGATGAGCAATTGGTACAGTGAAACCTTGCGTCATTTGACTCTGGTTGACTCCTTGTATCACAGTTGTTGGGGGATGCTCACTGAGGGTCGTGATGAAGACCAAGAATCCCCAGACCCACTGGTCATGTTGGCTTGGAAATGCAAACACCTGGAACATCTCACACTACTAGGCAAGCTTCATATAATTTTTATAAAAATCTTGTATTAATCAGTCATTGAAATGAAACATTTACTGTGTAATATATTCTGCTTAATTTCTCTAACTGTATTAAACTTTAAAATGGTTAACTTCACTCTTGATGTTGGTTTAGTGTATAACAGATATAGAACCTTCCTTCAGAAAATTATTCGCATGCTCTGTCTTGCAATAAGATCACAGTAAACAGGTGATATCAGAATATGCAAAACAACCACTATGAAAGAATAGTGAAATTCTAAGCGCTTTCGTGACTTCTCATATTATCAAGGAACTATAAAAACAAAACATCAAAGGAAGGCATATGAAGGGTCCAGACTACACCTTGCCTTCACATCCCACAACAAAGCAACATCTCACACACGCGTGACGACATCCGACTTCGTGAAACCCACCTAATACTCTACCCAAGAATTAAGATTTATTACTTGTTTAATGTATCATTAAATTCCTTCCAAATTTTATTAATTATAAATGAATCCAATTTATATAAACCAAAGGAAATATTCATATTATTTTCAAAACTGCTTTTTATGAAACGTGATTCAATTATATTCCTGTCGACCAGGGATTTGCTTGATACAACTTTCTCAGCCTTTTGAAAATCAATTGGATGGTTAAAATCTCTCACATGAATAATAAGGGAGAACCTTACCATGAAAACTTGGTTGATATGCCTTCTCTTTTTAAGACTTTTAATATCAAAGTTATACTATTTAAAAATCTTGATACAGTAAAAAAAAAAACTTTTGATAAAGACTTCCCCCCAAAATACTGACGGATGTGTCTATAAGATTCCTTGTAAAATTTGCGATAAAGTTTATTACGGTCAAACTGGTAAGTCTCTCAAACTAAGATTAAAACAACATAAATATAGCTTATAAATATAGTTGACGTGTCAGCGGATGGATTTATGAAGGATGAGGTTAATCATAGAATTGATGAAGGAAAACAGGCGAGTGGTGCGTTGAGGTATATGTGGAGACAAAAAACGTTATCTATGGAGGCAAAGAAGGGAATACATGAAAGTATAGTAGTACCAACACTCTTAAATGGGTGTGAAGCTTGGGTTGTAAATGCTGCAGCGAGGAGGCAGTGGAGATGTCCTGTCTAAGGGCAATGTGTGGTGTAAATATTATGCAGAAAATTTGGAGTGTAGAAATTAGGAGAAGGTGTGGAGTTAATAAAAGTATTATTCAGACGGCTGATGAGGGGTTGTTGAGGTGGTTTGGTCATTTAGAGAGAATGGATCAAAGTAGAATGACATGGAGAGCATATAAATCTGTTGGGGAAGGAAGGCGGGGTAGGGGTCGTCCTCGAAAAGGTTGGAGGGAGGGGGTAAAGGAGGTTTTGTGGGCAAGGGGCTTGGACTTCCAGCAAGCGTGCGTGAGTATGTTGGATAGGAGTGAATGGAGATGAATGGTATTTGGGACCTGATGAGCTGTTGGAGTGTGAGCAGGGTAATATTTAGTGAAGGGATTCAGGGAAACCGGTTATTTTTATATAGCTGGACTTGAGTCCTAGAAATGGGAAGTACGTACAATGCCTGCACTTTAAAGGAGGGGTTTGGGATATTGGCAGTTTGGAGGGATATGTTGTGTATCTTTATACGTATATGCTTCTAAACTGTTGTATTCTGAGCATCTCTGCAAAAACAGTGTTTGTGTGAGTGATGTGAAAGTGTTGAATGATGATGAAAGTATTTTCTTTTTGGGGATTTTCTTTCTTTTTGGGTCACCCTGCCTCGGTGGGAGATGGCCGACTTGTTGAAAAAAAAAAAATTAGAACTGGACAAGATTCTAATGCTCTGTTTATTCATGTGAGAGATTTTAACCATCCAGTTGATTTTCAAAAGGCTGAGAAAGTGGTAGCAAGCAAATCCATGATCGACAGGAGTATAAATGAATCATGTTTCATGAAAAGCAGTTTTAAAAATATGAATATTTCCTTTGGTTTATATAAATTGGATTCATTTATAATTAATAAAATTTGGAGAGAATTTAATGATACATAAAACAAGTAATAAATCTTAATTCTTGGGTAGAGTATTAGGTGGGTTTCACGGAGTCGGGTGTTGTCACGCGTGTGGGAGATGTTGCTTTGTTGCGGGATGTGATGGTGAGGTGTAGTCTTGACGCTTTATATGCCTTCCTTTGATGTTTTGTTTTTATAGTTCCTTGATAATGTGAGAAGCCACGCAAGCGCTTGGAATTTCACTATTCTTTCACGGTGGTTATTTTGCATGCTCTGTCTTGTTATTCATAAACTATACACAGGTATTTTGTGGATGTCATTATTCAAGTTTCCTAGTCAAACTTGTTTTATACTTGTGCAACACTCAAGTTTCTAATAGTGGCAGTGTGAGTTACAGATATTTTGGCCCCCTTTTGCATAATTCTGCCTTGTTTCTCCCTTGTCATTGGTGAGCTTATATTAGGAAATGTCCTCGATATTTTATATACCAGTTGTGTTAACAGTTTAATAATTGTTTAGGTTATGGATATGGTGGAAGTGATGTTGTTGCCATTGCAAGACTCCGTGGCACTGGCCTGAAGGATTTGTGTATCCCAGAAGACTGTCTTGAAGCTGATGACTCCCATGAATTAGCAAATGAAGAGGATGTAGAGAATATTGCTGAGGTATGTTTGTGTATATAGCAGTGCCAAGTTATCTGTTAGTACTCACTGGGTACATGGTTGTTGTAACCATAAAGTATTATTATAATTTTTATTATTATTAATATTTTTTTTTTTTTTTAACACATTGGTCATTTCCCACCGAGGCAGGGTTCAGAGAAATGGCAGAGTGCTGACAGTATAGTGATAGGGACTGGAGAAAAGGTTTAAGCCCATATAACTTGAGATGGGGATTAGAATGATAATATTCTGTATCTAATGATGAAACTTAAAAAATGTAGGTTCATTGTTTAGTAGAGGCATGGTGGTATTAGATACAGTACAATAGACCCCTCTAATATCATCTGAACTGTCGTATCTGTGCACCTTTGGCAAGACAGTGATAGTGTGAGGGTGAAAGTGTTTCTTTTTTGGGTCAATCCTACCTTGGTGGGAGACAACCAGCACGTTAAAAAAAATTTTTTTTATTAAGACTGAAATTTTATGACTCAGTTTTGAGTAGCATGGGATGATGACTGAATGCATGTCATAAATTTAGAAGAAAATAGCTTATAAGGTGGTGCATGAAGGCTAGTTACCTATAATTACACTATAGTTATGCATTACAGTAAATCTCTAACAGATTTCAGCAGTTTGGCAAAATAATTTACTGGACAAATTCTCTAATTATCAAACATAATGGACAAAAGTCTGTAAGTCTGCATTTTGTGTGTAGTAATAATATCCAGTTGTCTTCCGAAGTACTGGGCCAAGTCCACTAACACTGATGTTTGTCTGGTATGGGCCAAAGCAGCCACATCCAGGAGCAGTCTTTTTTCGTTGTTTCCTGAGCCATAGGCCACCTGCTCAAATTTATTTGTGTTCATTCACATGTACACTTGTCATTCAGTCTAATTTTTCCTGGATTTAGAATAATTTTGTGTGGCTTTATTAACATACTAAGTAAAGTGCAATTAACAATTGCTTCAAGTGGTGGTGCAATTAACAATTGCTTCAAGTGGTAGGACAATTAACAATTGCTTGAAGTGGTGGGGCAATTAACAGTTGCTTGAAGTGATGGGGCAATTAACAATTGCTTGAAGTGGTGGGGCAATTAACAATTGCTTGAAGTGGTGGGGCAATTAACAGTTGCTTGAAGTGGTGGGGCAATTAACAATTGCTTGAAGTGGTGGGGCAATTAACAATTGCTTGAAGTGGTAGGGCAGTTAACAATTGCTTGAAGTGGTGGGGCAGTTAACAATTGCTTGAAGTGGTGGGGCAGTTAACAATTGCTTGAAGTGGTGGGGCAGTTAACAATTGCTTGAAGTGGTGGGGCAGTTAACAATTGCTTGAAGTGGTGGGGCAGTTAACAATTGCTTGAAGTGGTGGGGCAGTTAACAATTGCTTGAAGTGGTGGGGCAGTTAAACAATTGCTTGAAGTGGTGGGGCAGTTAACAATTGCTTGAAGTGGTGGGGCAGTTAACAATTGCTTGAAGTGGTGGGGCAATTAACAATTGCTTGAAGTGGTGGGGCAATTAACAATTGCTTGAAGTGGTGGGGCAATTAACAATTGCTTGAAGTGGTGGGGCAATTAACAATTGCTTGAAGTGGTGGGGCAATTAACAATTGCTTGAAGTGGTGGGGCAATTAACAATTGCTTGAAGTGGTGGGGCAATTAACAATTGCTTGAAGTGGTGGGGCAATTAACAATTGCTTGAAGTGGTGGGGCAAATAACAATTGCTTCAAGTGATGATGTCAAGAAAAAACGTGTACAGTAGAGCCCCGCTTTACGTTTTTTTGCCTTACAGCGTTCAGCTAATACAGACATTTCAAATTATGACCAAAACTTGCTATACAGCTCCCCTACCTGACTTTCTAACATGGTCACTGAGTGCCACCCGGTTTGTTTACATTCTCCGTGAGCATGTCTCTCTATTATGTCCAGAAACTTTCCAAAATTTCAAGTGTTTTAAAGTTATTACATATTTGTATGTACTCTGATAATTATTCTTACGTGTAACTGTATCTAAATAAACTTACACAATGTGCTGGCTTGCAGGTACACATTAAAATCACTAAAGACCATCCCTCTAGTCTTGACACCATAGTAATAATATACTAATTCATAATAATAATAATCACTTGACCACATTAAATGTCTTATTTTACATTAATAGAGATATTTTCATTAATTCATCTGTATTCTCTTCAAAATTATATAAGAAATATGTTACATAGCATATAAACATGATACATAAACTCACAGAAATATGAGATGTGGTAGCCAGGCGGAGGAAAAGAATTACGTTTTCTCTGGTCCAGCACCAGAGAAATTGTGGATCAATGCGTGTATGGCCCAGTCACTCCCCTTAAACTGTCCAAACGTAGATCTACGTTTTTTCAACATTTAAGAGTATGTACAAAAACGTAGATTTTTTTTTTTTTTTGTTTTTACATTTCAAAGTGTTTAAAAAAACTTTGTTCTACTTTTTTTTATATATTTGAAAATATGTAAAAAAACATAGATCTACTTTTGGAGCACTACGCATGTGAATGTAGATCTGTTTGGGCAGTTTAAGGGTTAAAACTACACATATTTTAAGGTAAGTAATAAGTGTACTGTATGTGTATTTTATCCCTCTGGGCTGCTTTCAGTATCGTATATTACGTTTGGAAGGGGAGCCAAGGCTACCTACACCTGACTTCCTACAAATAAATACTATTCACCTCTTACCCTACATTAAGACTACAAATATTTTTAGGTAAATAATGAATGTACTGTGTATGTATTTTACTTTTTATTGTTTTTTAATGCCTAGTTCTACTCTCAGCTTAATATATGTGTAAACTTGTTATCTGGCATTCGTATGCATATATATGTGGAAAAAATTGCATTCTGCTTTCCGGCGATGTCTACTTTCTGGCGGTAGCCTGGAACCTAACCTGCCATATAAATGGGGCCCTACTGTATATGACTTCATATGTGAATTACTGAATATAAATTTCCATGTTGCATATTATATTTGGGATAAAAACATTGTAATTTATTTTTCTGCTAGCAGAAAATCTTGTATAAATGCTTTTGAATTACATACAATTAGTAAATTTTTATTGGTAAATTTCTAAGGCCTTTTAAAACTTTCTATAGTACAGTAAACCCTTGATTTAATGGATCTCGATTAAATTGACTTCAACAATACTGGACAGAATCTGCTGGATTAATTGATTCAGAAATGGTGGACAAAGTTCATTGTTTACAGAATTGTTTATTAATGCTACTTTTTTCTACTATCATGACCAAAAAATCCCATCTCCTTCACGTCGTACAGTGGACCCCCGGTTATCGGCCAACTCGGTTATCGGCCGGTTTTTCAGTGCCCGGTTATCGGCCCTTAATTCGGTTATCGGCCATTTGGGACGCGTCCATCCGCCGGCTGGGGCTTCTTGCGCGTCAGTTTGGCTTTGTCTCTCGGTGGCTGAGGAAGCTTCTGCTCATACATCCAAACATTTTGCTTGTTTTCCATTTTTTTTTTTTTTTTTTTTTGTAATGCAACTGTGAAATAAGTAACTATGGCTCCAAAGAAAGTTCCTGTGGTAAAGAAAGTGACAAACAGCATGGAATTTAAGCATGAAGTGATAGAAAAGTTTGAAAGTGGTATGAAGGTGGTGGAACTTGCCAGGATGTACAGCAAGAATAAATCAACAATTACACTTATCCTGGCAAAGAAAGAACAAATCAAAGATGCTAATGTTGCAAAAGGAGTAACTTTTCTATCTAAACAAAGGCCACCAATAATGGATGAGATGGAAAAGTTATTGTGGATTAAGGAAAAAGAATTAGTGGGAGACAGTATTGTGGAGTCTATTATTTGTGAGAAGGCAAGGCAGTTGCATGAGGATCTTGCAAAGAAAATGCCTGGAACAAGTGCTGCAGTTAGTGAATTTATGGCCAGCAAAGGATGGTTTGATAGATTTAAGAAGCGGCTGGAAAATTCATGCAGGAATTCCAGGGGTACATAGAGGCTGAAGGATTCAAACCCCAACAAGTGTTCAGTTGTGACAAAACAGGCCTGTTTTGTAAGAAAATGCCAAACAATACCTACATTACCCAGGAGGAAAAGGCACTGCCAGGACACAAGCCTATGAAAGATAGGCTTACTCTTTTGTTGTGTGGTAATGCTAGTGGGGATTTCAAAGTGAAGCCTTCACTGGCGTATCACTCAGAAAATCCCAGTGTTCAAGAAAAACAATGTCATGAAGAATAGATTGTGTGTGATGTGGAAAGCTAATCATAAGGCATGGGTCACAAGGCAAATTTTCAAAGAGTGGGTTAATGATATGTTTGGCCCAAGTGTGAAAAAATACCTCCTGGAAAAGAAATTGCCACTCAAGTGCCTTCTGGTACTGGACAATGCTCCTGCACATCCTCCAGACTTAGAAGACCAAGTGTTTAGGGACTTCCATTTTATAAAAGTGAAGTTCTTGCCTCCTAACACCACTCCTCCAGCCCATAGACCAGCAGGTCATTTTTAAGTTCAAAAAACTCTACACAAAAGCAGTGTTTCAAAAGTGCTTTGAAGTGACCTCAGACACTCACTTGACCCTAAGAGAGTTCTGGAGGAATTGCTTCACTATCCTCCATTGCAAAAGCCTTATAGGTAAGGCTTGGGAGGGAGTGACTTCCAGGACTTTGAACTCTGCTTGGAGAAAACTGTGACTAGATTGTGTCCAAGCTAGGGATTTCGAAGGGTTTGAGGCTGACCCTGACTCTGCCGACCCTGTGGACTCTATTGTGGCACTGGGAAAGTCCCTGGGGTTGGAGGTGAGTGGCGAGGATGTGGAAGAGTTGGTGGAGGACCACAGGGAAGAGCTAACCGCTGAAGAGCTGCAAGAGCTTCAACTTGAACAGCAACAGACTGCAGCTGAGGAACTTGCTTTAGAGGAGGAGGAAGAGGGAGTGAAGGAGGTGCCTTCCTCAGAGATTAAAGAGGTGTGTGCAATGTGGACTAGGGTGCAAGCTTTTGTAGAAAAACACCACCCTGACAAAGCTGAAACAAACCATATCTGCAACATGTTTAGTGACAAAACCCTGTCCCACTTCAGGGAAATCTTAAAAAGATGCCAGAAACAGAGCACTCTGGACAGTTATTTTGTGAAACGGGGGTCCAGTGACTCTCAAGCTGGTCCTAGTGGCATTAAAAGACAAAGAAGGGAAGTAACCCCAGAGAAGGCTTTGCTACCTAAAGTCTTTATAGATGGGGATTCCCCTTCCAAACACTAACTCTTCCCTTGTTCCTCTTCCCTTACTTCCAGAAGCCAGCATTAGCCTTCAATAAAGGTATGTAATACTTAAATAATTGTTTAAAAAAAATATTTTTTTTGTGAATATTTTTGTATGGAACTGATTTATTGTATTTCCATCAATTCTTATGGGAGATATTGACTCGGTTTTCGGCCATTTTGGTTATCGGCCGACCTTCTGGAACGGATTACAGCCAATAACTGGGGGTCCACTGTAATCACCATTACTAGCCACCTACTTTTCTATTATGCCATTAAATGAAGGGTTTGCTATACTTGTCACTAAGCTTTAACCATTAAGAAATTTTCATAAATTAAGGGATTTAGCTTTGTTATTTAACATATGAGCTAATTGTTTATATATCTTAATTATTACACAATGTTTACAGGATGTTTCAGCTGGATTGGGTCGAACATGGCGACCATTGGCCTTGTCAGACCTTCATCCTTGTGTTCGTACCACAAGCAGTTTTGACACTGACCAATACATACTCCCAATTGTTCTCGCAGATTCTGTGATAAGTTGAGGCTCACAAAACAGTAAGTTAAACAGCTACACAGTTCACCAAGAAATAGAGGTAAAGTACTTTTAATAGAAGGTAGCAAAAGATATGTGGTACTTTTAATAGAAGGTACTGAAAGATAAGAGATTCTTTTAATAGCAGGTAGCAAAATGTATGAATGTATACACATCATGAAAATAAGAATGTATTTATAAAGTATTTTAAAAACTATTAAAATGTATTAGAATAAAAAGGCTGAAATTAATATAGAGCCGTGTATATGAACTTAGGCCCCATTATTCATTAATGATACACAGTGTTAAATGAGAAAATTTACTGAGAAAATATTGACATAAATATGGTACAAAAACTTATCTGGTAACATAGGAAAAATTCCTTTTAGGATGATTGTGGCAAAAGGGTAATATCAGCAATCCATTACTGATGTATTCACCAAGTTGTATAAAAAGCATTGTACTTCATGGTATTTTGCATAGTTTGTTCTCTACAAATGATGGATGCTAACACAAGGCATGTGTATCAGTCATTCAATATGTTCCTCTAGGATTACCCATATATGATACCGGTATGAGTCAGGCTACTCTATTATTGTCATAATACACCTTTTTAATTTCTTGCACCTAATCTCGTCTAATGCAGTTATGCCCTAATTTCTAGGATAAAAACCATTAGTGGTTATTTCTAGGCAATCAACATAAAATACTTAAGTTTTACTAGATGCTGATTTACATCTTAGGCACCTGGCTAAACTAGACCCTAGTTTGAGGCCTAGAAAGGTTGCATATAAATTTTTGAGGGGAAAAAAAAGTTAGGATAGTTCTTTTGTAGTTCATTGCTGTAGTTAACCGTGTAATGAATATACTTTACTCAAATCAACCTGCCATATACATACAGTACATGTTTTAAAGGAATCCATAGCATTAAAGCAAAATGTATGATTGTTTTTTAAACTGTGATCTGAGGAATTATTTGGATTTACACATTTTATTAAAGCACATTACCCAGTGTATATTTAAAGTTAGTCCTTGCTTTTTTCTTTTAAGTAATTTAATATTTTAAGAAAAATATTTTTGTTACATTTATCTAATACTAAGGTAAATTTGTCACATCGGTGATAATAAACATAATTATTGTTTTACTAGTATGGTCAAGATCTATAATGTGCATGCTTGTCTTTCGACTGTACCCATGAAATGGCATAGTGGTTGTTGAACAACCCCATTCTGTCATACAATTTGGTGATCATCAACCTACTGTATTCATGACTCAGAATAACTCCATATTTTATTAAAGGTGTTGTGAAGTGAGAAATTGTTTGCATATGAAGAGCCAGTTCTTAAAAGTCATGGTTAAGACTATGTATTGAGAAGCAAATTAGTCTAGCATAGAGTTGTAACCAATACTGCATGTGATATTGACATTTTTTAAATAAATTAAATGTTGGCCAAATAGTTTAAGGAACTATTAGAAAAGTATACCTGCCACATTCCCCCTGAATACACAAAATCCCAGCATTATTTACTACTCCTGGGGGAAATAGTTCTCATATGGATTTTGTATTTCATAAATATAGCAGTGCACTGACAAGGCTTGTGAAAATAATGAAAATTTATTTTTATATTTTTTTTTTTTTAAATGTATATTTTTCATTTATAGGAGTGTCACTATTCATGTACAAAGTCCAAGTGTATTATATATATAAAATAACCATGGTTGAAGCTCTTAATTTATGCTGTGACATTCCCTCATACAGAGCTTAATGATGGAGTGACAATTTGTGTGCATGATTCTGAAGATCAAGCTATATAAATAGCAATGAATCATGTTTGTGTAAATACTCCTTACTCATAACAAAAAATTCTGCCAAGATTCTACATTCCACATTGAGACTCTATAATGAACAAATGCTTTTAAAATATTTCTTAGTAATAGATTAGACTTTATTTAAAATATTTTTTGTATCATACTGAGCTAGTTTTTCCTTCTTAGGAAGTGTAAAAAATCAAAATACATAATTTATCTGTCATCATCTCTGGAATGTAATTATATACATACAGCCCCATAGTGCACATGTTTGGTATTTGAAAGTAATATTACTTGAATGGGGAGCACTTAAACTGCCTTCCTTCTATTTCTCTAGCCTTGAGGGCATGGTCACATGCACACACTTTCCCTAGACATTACAGATGCATTTTTTATTTTTTAACATACCAGCCATCTCCCAGAGAGGCAGGGTGACCTAAAGAGTAAAATGAAAGTTTTTCTTTTTATATTTAGTAATTTATACTGGGGAAGGGGTTACTAACCCCTTGCTCCTGGCATTTTAGTCACTTCTTACAACAACATGCATGGCTATGGATGCCTTCTAGTGTTAAATTCTTGAAGCATCTAAAACATTCATGAATTCTAAATGCTGTATTCATGTTCACTTAGTGGTGGAGTTCACATACATCTTTGCCAAACACTTCGGCTTTTCATTATTTACTAGGCGATTCACATGTAAAAACTACCAAAGCTCTGCAGTTAATGAATATCCTTGCATGTGTATTTGTTTGATAACAGTCTTTGTATTGAAGTATGAAGCTGTCATTAAATGCCTATTTCTTTCACTGCAGATCTGGCATTTTTATTTATGTTTTGAATACATATCATATATCATAGTCTTCTATGTAGTAGCAAATTTTTATTTTATCTTGAAAGTGTATGCAATGTTGTTTGTGTATTTTTCAAGTCCTTTCCCAATATTCTTTATCTGTTTACCTAGGTGGCACTTTCATTTGAAGTATTTAGTTTTTATTTGGAGAACTTTTGTCGCAGTTAATACATTAATATGTCACTTTGGGCGTCAATACATTGGCCGTTTCCCAAAGCAGAGTGACCCAAAAAAGAAAACACTTATATCATCATCATTCACTCTATCACTGTCTTGCCAGAGGTGTGCCTACATTACAATTAAAAAAAAAAAACTGCCATGTATCAACACCCCTCCTTCAGAGTGCAGACACTGTACTTCCCACCTCCAGGATCAAGTCCGACTAACCGGTTTCCCTGAATCCCTTCGTGAATGTTACTTCACTCACACTCCAACAGCATGTCAAGCCATAAAAACCATTTGTCTCTACTTGCTCCTGTCTAACACACTCGCAAATGCTTGCTGGAAGTCCAAGCTCCCTCCAACCTTTCCTAGGCCAACCCCTGCCCTACCCTCTTCCACTGCAGATTTATACTCTCTCCAGGTCATTCTATATCGTTCCATCCTCTCTAAATGTCCGACCCACCTCAACAACCCCTTCTCAGCCCTCTGGAAAATACTTTTAGTAACCCAACACCTTATCTCCAAAGTACAGATTCTTTGTTATATTCACACTGCACATTGCCCTCAGACACGACATCTCCACTGCCTCCAGCCTTCTCCTTGTAGCAACATTCACCACCCATGCTTCACACCTATATAAGAGTGTTGGTATAACTTACTCTCATACATTCCCCCTCTTTGCTTCCATGGATAATGTTCTTTGTCTCCACAGACTCCTCAGTGCACCACTCGCCTTTCTCTCCCTCATCAATTTTTTTAATTCACCTCATCTTTCATAGACCCATCTGCTGACAAGTCCCCTCCAAAATATCTGAACACAGTCATTTCCTCCATATTCCCTCCTTCCAATTTGATATCCAGTCTATCATTACCTAATTTTTTGTTATCCTCGTCACCTTACTTTATATGATATACTTAATTTGTTTTTGTATTAAAGCTTCCAGGGTCCTGACCCCCAGTCTGAAACTTGTCCACAGGATCCAAGAATTTTCAAAAAAAATTTATTTTTTCTTATGAAATGGTAGAGAATCTTTTTCTGAAGATAATAAACAAAAAGTATGAAATTTGATGGAAAATTGATGAAATTACGTTATTGCAAATTTTGCTGCATCAGCAATATTTGCACATTTGCGATTTTGCCTACTTTTGACTCCATTTTAGGCCAATTACATTATTCCAGTCAATCAAATTCTTAGTTATTCCACTAGTATTACTTTTAGTTTAATGATTGAGCACAATAAATCGCCCAATCAACTATTTCAGCTACCAAATAAAGTGATACGGAAATCGGTAATTTTACCTATTTCACACAAAGTTCAAAATATTCCAATTTTAAAGTAAGGTCCAGAATAAATAATGCACCTCTTCAAGGGGGGCTCCTTGGCGTGGTGAAGAGGCTCTTGGTCTGAGGAATTAGACCTGTCGGTCTACTTCCTCAGACCGAACCTAATTACCCCCCAATCCCCCGTTCCCTATCCCATCCTCCCCATCCTCCCCTTTTTCTTTTCCTCCTCCTCCTCCCCACCCCTCCCTTTTGCCCTTCCTTTTTGGCCTTTGTTTTTTTTTTTCCCCACAGGCACGCTAGTTCCTAGGTAGGGGAAAAGGTACCGGGGTCCATCCCATTCCGTTGAGGTTCTTGGCGGTGGCGTAGTTTGCCCTGGAATCTGGATTGCCTGGGGATGTCCTGATCCCTCTCCGGTATCCCGGAGGGTGGCTTTGGGTGTCTCTCGGGCGACGGGTGTATCTCTGGAAGCCACCTTTCGGATTCCGGGGGTGGTGGCCGAAGGAGGTATGCTTTGTGGCGGATTTCCGGCCGCCCTCTCTTTTGTCTACCGAGGTAGCTCGGCAGATGTGAGGTTGCTATCCCGGATTGCCGGTTTACTGGCATGATGGGTAGGGTATGGCACGGGTTCCATGCTGCATCTGCGCTACTTGCGGTGCTGAGGTCCTCTTGGGCGTGGAGGGAGATTTCTGGCCCTTTCATTCCTCCTAGGAACTATCCCTCCCCGGTCCCCCCTTTTTTATTCTTTTTTTATTTTTATTTTCTTTTCTTCTTTCTTTTTTTTTCTTAAAAACAAAAAGAAAGAAGTAACCTAACCATGGCAGCCCTAGTCCATGAACCTACTACCCCCGGGCCCCTTCTTGATACTGCACCCCGTTCTGACCCCACCTCGTCTTTGGACCACTCTTCGGACACTCCTCATGCCTCTGTACCTCTTGCCGGTGCTGTTTCCTCACCCGCTTCAGGTACTGAGGCCTCGACTGACTCCTTCGATTTATCTGACCTTCGCTCTCCTCTGACTATGCTTCCGGCCTCTCCCTCTACGGTGCGGCAATTTTCGAATCGCTGGCCTGTTCCACGTCGGACCAACTCTGGTCCCACGCCTAAACGACAACGACAATTACAATTATCTGCTGATGAAACTTCTCCACCTTCTCGTTCTTCTCAGAAAAGATCGACACGTCCTTCACTACCTTTCCACGCTCAGTTTCAGACTGCACAGTGGACTAAATTCTTCACTTTACGACCGACTTCCTCTACTGCCTATCTTTCTGACCACAGTATTGGCAAGGCACTCCTATGCCATGTTGGTAAAGATATTTCTTTTCATGCTCTTAAGAGCAGTACGCGCATCGTCACCGTACAGAATGCTACCCAGGCTCATGAGCTTTCTCGTCTTTCCCATATCGATACTGTTCCTGTAACTATTGAAAAGCATCATTCCCTCAATTCTCGAAGTGGTACCGTCATTCTGCCCCATACCATAGTTCAACAAAATTTCCAGACATGTGGCACTGGCATTCTTGAACAGCTGGAACTCCAAGATCTCCCAATCCTCAAGGTAGACACTTACGTTCTTCCTGCCCGCGGGCGGAGACGATACCCTAGCAATGTGGCTCGTTTAACTTTGACAGCCGTGAACTCCCATCCTCAGTTTATGTAGCAGGACATCGGTTACAAGTTCGAAAGGTGATCCCTACACCGCAACAGTGTACAAATTGCTGGCGATTTGGCCATCCAGCGAAATATTGCAGATCTATCGCCGAATGCCCAGTCTGTGGTGCCGATGACCATTCTAATACGTCTTGCAATCGACCTCCCTCTTGCCTTAATTGACATGAGGCTCACCCTTCGTACTCTCGCCGTTGTCAAGTCTACTTAAACGAGCGGGAAATCCATTACCTCAAAGAGGCAGAAGGTCTCCCTTATGCCATGGCAGTTTCTCATCTCCGCCTCCAAGGGAGACTAACCTCGTGTTTCTTATTCCCGTGTTTCAAAACGTCCCCCCACTTCTGGTATCCCATCTTCTGCACCCACCTCTGTGGTTACCTCTCCCATAGTCACTCCTGCAGCTAATTCTTTTGCTGTCCTCGGCTCAGACGTCCCTACTTCAACGTCTCAGTCTGATCTTGCTTCTTCGTGTTCTCTCTCACAAGCCTCAGTAGCGACGAGATCTCGTATGACACCTCCTCCCAATCGTCCCTCTACTTCTCAAAAGTCAAAAAAGGGCCGTTAACACCTCCTACCCATCTTCCACCTCCTCATTTTCCCTTCCCTGTCTCTGTACCTGGTTCTCCCCCTCTCACTGGCTCAGTTACAAGTGTAGAGGTTCACCCTCCTCCTCGTACTGTACCTTCCTCGCCTGTTCCCTCCCAAGTTTCTTCCTCTTCTGCCACCTCCCAGGTTTCTGCCTCTTCTGTCCCCTTCCATGCTTCTCCAGTTCCCTCCACCCTTTCGCCCCCCCCTACCTTGGTACAGTCCATTACAGTCCCAATCTTTACTCATCCTTCCCCTACCATTTCCAATATTGTCTCCCATACGACGTCTCTGAATTCTGAAACACTTGAAGCAATCTCTGAATATATTGCAGAGACCAAACCATCAATGGACACTGATCCACCCTCCGCTCCTTCTCTCTCCTCTACTCCATCTGCGCAGCTCCTTTCTTAACAGCGCACCGTTCCTTCGCTGCTTGAACGTTTTCCACTGCCTCCGCATATGGACTTTTTTAACCCCTCTAGTCCGTAGGAACCCTTACCTACGGATTTCAGGTATCTTTATCATTGCCAATCATGGCCTATTTACAGTGGAATATACGTGGCCTCAGGGGTAATCGGGGTGAGCTTCAGATGTTACTCTCCCAGTTTTCCCCTGGAACCAAAATTACACTCTGCTGTTATCTCTCCCATCTCAGGCTATAATTTATTGTATTCTTCAGATCCTTTTCCTGATGGGACCTTTAATGAAAGTGCCCTTCTTCTACACAATGATGTTCCGTACCATCAGCTATTTGTTCGTACTTCGCTGCATTACACAGCAGCCCGTATCCACTTGCATAGGTGGTATACGCTCTGTTCTTTATATCTCTCTCCTTCTCAGGCATTATCTATTCCGGATATTGCCTTTCTTGTTTCGTCATTACCACCACCGATTCTGTTACTTGGTGATTTTAATGCCCACCATTTCCTCTGGGGGGGTCTCACTGTGATTCCCGTGGCATTCAGTTGGAGGCTTTTTTGCCACCCACCCCCTCCATGTTTTAAATACAGGTACTCGCACCCATTTTGATCCTCGGACTCGCACTCTCTCTTGCATCGATCTCTCAGTCTGCTCTTCCTCCGCCGCATTAGACTTCACTTGTCTGTTCTTCCGACTTACATGACAGCGATCATTCCCAATCATTCTTACTTCCCCTTCATATTCACCACCTCTTCGCATCCCACGCTGGCAATTTGATCAGGCAAATTGTAACCTTTACTCACACCTAACTGTTTTTAGAGAGGTTCCTTCTTCGTCC